CCTTTCTTCTTCTTCTGCTTCGACGTCTTTTTCCCCTTTCGCGCGGACGCGAAGTTGCGATTTTTACACCGTCGCGTACCCCTCCATCTGGGCGCTGAAGGCGGAGTACGCGGACCTCTGTTTTGAGGAGAATTTGCACAAGACCGCGCTGGACCTCTACGAGCAGGTCCTGGACTGGGAGAAGATGATGACGTGTTGTCGGAAGCTGGATAAGCGCCGCCGGGTGGAGTCGCTCGCGCGGGGGCTGCTCGAGCGGGACCCCCGCAATCCGGCGCTGTGGGTCGCCCTCGGCGAGGCGACCCGTGAGGCGGCCCACCTCTGGAAGGCCTGGGAGCTCTCCAACCACAAAAGCGCATCCCCGATGCGCGCGCTTGCGCGGCTCGCGTTGGAGCGGAAGAACTACAAGGAGGTCGTTCGCTACTTCGACGAAGCCGTTCGGATTAACCCGGTCTTTGGCGGGGATTGGTTTACTCTGGGCTACGCCTCGCTGAAGCTCCGGCTCTGGGCGCGCAGTGGCGAGGCCTTCACCCGGGTCTGCCAGATCGACCCTGAGGATGCCTTCGCGTGGAATAATCTGGCTTCGATTATGCTCCAGGAGAATAAGCCTCGCCTTGCGTTTAATGCGATGAGCCAGGCCCTGCGCAATAACCGCCGGGACTGGCGGATGTGGTGGAATTATTTCCACATCGGCACCCACCTGAAGGAGGTTTTTGAGACCACCAACACGCTGAACATCATCCTGGACATCGGCAAGCGCCACGTGATCCTGGACAACGACGTCATGAAGATGTTTGTCAGCCACACCATCGCCTACCTCAAGGGCGAGATCCATGGCAGCGGCGCGGCTGAGGCTGGAAACGACGGGGATGCTATGCAGGAGGATGCGGTGCGGTTTAAGAGCGCCGGGGGCGGGAGTTTGGCCTCGATGCGGTCCGACATCGCGCATACCCCGGTGGTTCTGGAAGGCCGCACCCACGGCGAGCCCACGGACGACGACGACGGGGATGCGGGGGTCGGGGTGGATTTGGCGCCGCTCGGGATGGACTCCGCGGACGTCGAGGCGTGGGATGGGGGCTCGGCCCAGCGGGCGCGGGACGACGACAACGCCGCCGCGCAGGCTGAGATTCGCAGGCGTCATGAAAAGCGCGTCCGGGATCTCTTTGCGCGGCTTCTCGAGAACTTTGTCTCCGATCCGGATCTCTACGGCTGCACGGCGCGTCTTTTCCGCTACCTGGATGGTCCCTCGGCGGGGTACTACTATCGCGTGAAGGAGCTGCGTGCTTGCCGCCAAAAGCATCACTGGGAGCGTGACGATAAATTGTTTAGGCGCACCGTGAAAAGTTTGGAGGGGATGGTGGACGACGCGCTGGCGATGGCGGGGGACCCACGCGACGCGTCGCCGGCTTTGGGTGCTCAAGCGCCTTCCACCAATCCGGAGCCAGTGGAGTCCGGCAATTCGATTAATCCGTCGTCAGCCGTGGCGGATGAGTCTTGTATGGGAGAGACGGCCTCGCGACCGACCGGGGGGGAGCCCTCGGGGACTGCGGAAACCTGGGCTTCGACGCGGAAGTCCGCGATGGATACCCTCGAGGAGACTTTACAAAACATCAGGGTGGTGTTGAGCTCCACGGAGGAATACATGGAATTCACAGAAGGGTTTGCGCATCTTCGCACGCTAGCCGTTCGTGTAAAGAATGCCCTTCAGCAAATGCGACCACCCGGCCTTTGACTACCTTGACGCCGTGTGTTTGACAGCCTTCTCGCAAAGAGTATCGCATTTTTTACTGTTTACGTGAGTGCCATCACAAACACGTGGTGACTTCATTACGAACAATCTTTTTCAAGTATTATTAGTTCTAACTGCCAAGGTGCATCATTGTAATATTTTTCTTACCTAATCGCGATTAACCCTGATAATGTTAACTATTAATATTGACATATTATTCGTATTATTGTTTTTGTGCACTTCCCCACCCGTGTTAGGACGGGATTGCGTTGTTGGGGATGTGATGAGTGGGATTTTTATGTTTCTACCAGATAGACCCATTCACTTGTTTACTTTTTCCATTTTCATTTTTTTTTTTGGCTTCTGGATTGTATTCTTATGTCGCGTTGGAAAGTGTGAAAGAAGAAAAGAGGGAGTGTGTGTGGACGAGACCGACACACGAGCACATACCCAAAATTGTGTACAAAGGGAGTGGAGCGACATCTAAAGCAAAGAAAAGGTCCAAGTTTTTATAAAAAGCGGCGCAATACTTTTTTTTTGATTAAAGTCAGGTGTCTCTAACAGGGTAGATTTTTGTGATACGGTAAACTAAAAGGAAAAATCTAATCTAACTATAGCAAATAACTAAATAACCAAATCCATCGACCACCGTCTATACTACCGGAGCGTTTATGCCGTCGTCGGTTGTAAGTCACGCGCGCTCCACCGCGTCTGGCGTGCATGGGGGCGGTGTGCGAAGTCGTAAGGTGGATGATCGCCTCATGTCGCTTCTTGAGTACTTGCCTAGTCGAAAGCACCGCGGGATGATTCTTTTGGTGGGGGACAGGGCCAGGGAGCAGATCGTCAATCTCCACCTGATGGTCTCCCGCGCGAACCACAACGCGAAGGTGAATGTGCTGTGGTGCATGAAAAAAGAGCTCGAGTTCGGTTCGACCAGCCAGAAGAAGCTTGAGCGACGTGGTCGGCTTGAGGTGAAAGGGGGCATGGCCACCGAGTCCACCAAGGAGGCTTTCCAGACCTTTCTCGCCCAGACCCCAATCCGGTTTTGCAAGTACGCCGAGACGCACAAGATTCTCGGCCAGACCTTCGGGATGGCCGTTCTGCAGGATTTCGAGAGCATCACCCCCAACACCCTCGCGCGGGCGGTGGAGACGGTGAAGGGGGGGGGAGTGGTGGTGTTGATGTTCCGCGCGATGCAGTCCCTGCGGCAGCTTTACACCATTGTCATGGACGTCCACGCGCGCTACCAAACCGAGGCCCAGCGCGTCGTCGTCCCGCGCTTTAACGAGCGCTTTTTGCTCTCGCTGATGGACTGCGAGACGGCGCTCTGCCTAGACGACGACCTCAACGTGCTGCCCATCACGCAGCGGATGCGGGGAGGGGGGGGCGGGTTGGGCTCGCGCGAGGACCCGGCGCTCGTCCTCCAGGGCCGGCTCCGGCATGAGGCCGAGCTCGCCCAGCTGAAGGAGCGAATCGCCCCAAGCGCGGCGGTGGGCCCACTGGTCCAGCGCTGCCAGACGATCGACCAGGCCAAGACGGTCCTCGCCCTTATGCAGGCGGTTGCAGCGAAGCAGCTCGACGCGACCTGCGTAGTGACCGCCGGGCGCGGGCGTGGAAAGTCCGCCGCCCTCGGGCTCGCCGCCGCGGGCGCGATTGCCCAGGGCTACAGCAATATCTTTTGCACCGCGCCGTCGCCGGAGAACTTGCAGACCTTCTTCGAGTTCGCCGTCCGCGGGCTGAAGGATTTTGGCTATGTCGAGACCACCCACTTCGAGGTCCTCCAGAGCACCAACGAGGACTTTGCCCGCTGTATTATTCGCATCCAAGTCTTTAAAGAGCACCGGCAGACCATTCAGTTCGTCTTGGCCACCGACGCGGAGACGTTTGCCCAGGCGGAGCTCGCGATCATCGACGAGGCCGCCGCGTTGCCGCTGCCCGTGGTGAAGCGGATGTTGGGGCCGTATTTGATTTTTTTGTCCTCGACCATCTCGGGTTATGAGGGGACGGGCCGGAGCCTGTCAATGAAGCTGATCGCCGACATGCGGAAAGGGAGCGGCGGGGGGGGTTCTCGCGCGAACGGGGTTTCTTCGGGCGGGCGGCAGCTCAAGGAGATAGCCCTGCAGGACGCCATTCGCTACGGCCCGGGCGATCCACTCGAGCGGTGGCTCAACACGCTGTTGTGTTTGGACGCGACGGAGAAGGCCGTCCCGCTCCGGGCCAGCCCCCATCCCAACACCTGCGAGCTCTATTACGTCAACCGCGACGCTCTCTTTTCCTACCACCCCTTCGCGGAGGAGGTCCTACAGCGCATCGAGGCCCTTTTGGTTGCCGCGCACTACAAAAACCAGCCCAACGACCTTCAGCTCCTATCGGATGCCCCCGGCCACCATTTGTTTGTCCTCTGCTCCGCAAGCCTAGAGGAGGAAGGGCAGGGCCGGACTACCCGGGCGGCGGAGGATAAGGGGTCCAAGGGGTTTATCGACAAGGTCCCGGATATTTACTGCGTTATCCACTCCTGCGAGGAAGGACAGGTGAGTGCGGAGACGGTGCGTAATAATCTCAGCCATGGCCTCCGACCCTCGGGGGACCTGATCCCCTACACGCTATCGCAATATTATCTTGAGGAGGGGTTCGCGAAACTGGCTGGGATGCGCGTGGTGCGCATCGCGACAAGCCCGGAGCTTCAGCGAGCGGGCTACGGCTCACGTTCCTTGGCATTACTACAGGCGTACTATTCCGGATCGATCGCCCTTACCCCCGCCGTGAGGCCGGCGGAGGCTGCCCCGCCCACGATGTCGGCCCCTTTCCCTTCTGAGGATGGGGACGGGACGGACACGCCGCTGCGGCCCCGCGATCGCGTCCTCAACCTCTTCACGCCATTGGTGGAGCGCCCGTACGAGGTGCTGGACTACCTTGGCGTGAGCTTTGGCCTGACGACGGAGCTGTTTAACTTTTGGAAGTGCGCCGGCTACGAGGTGCTTTATGTTCGCCAGGCCACCAATGACCTTACGGGAGAGCACAGTTGTGTGATGGTGCGGCCTAACGAGCTCGACTTGACCCCACTCAAGGAGGAGTTCCGACGGCGATTTCTTCGTCTTCTGTCCATGTCCTTCAGTTCCCTTTCGACGGAACTGTGTTTGAGCGTTCTATCGGACCTTAAAGTGCACGACGCCAAGAAGTTGTTCGAGCTCACTGACGCGACGCAGGCAGCGGAGCTCGGTGTCGTACGCGTTGCCGGCGTATGCCAGGCCAATTACACAAACCTCACGGATATTTTCAGCGCGTCGGATCTAAAACGCCTGCAGTTGTTTTCCACTTCCTACGTGGAGGGCAGTAATGTGCTGGACCTCTTGCCGGCGGTCGCCAAGCTGTACTTCGAGCATCGTCTGTACAAGGCACCTGATGGGACGGAGGGCGTCGTTCTCACACACGCGCAGGCCGCTGTGCTGCTTGCGGTGGGGATGCAATGCCAATCCTTGGAGGAGCTTTCTAAGCAGGACGCCTTTGCCAGCGTCCCGGTACCCCAGCTCCGCGCATTTCTCCAGAAGGGTCTTTCTCGTCTGATAGAGCATTTTAGCACTCTTCAGCGGCTTGATAATGCACACACGAAGCGCAGTCGCGAGGATGGTGCGAATAATGCCAACGAGGATGAGGAAGTGTGTGAGATCAAAGACGTGAGTGGGAAAGTCGTGGGGCTTAGCGTGGCCAAGAAAGTAAAGAAACATATCAATGTGGACACGATGTTGCTGCGAGATTCGTCGGTGACTGGTGTCATTGCTCAAAAGACGCCATCTTCATCACTGCAGGAAGTTTTCCACCGCCCTAAAAAGGGCTCCCGGCACCGATGAAAGATCACATCCCCAAGAACGACGCTATAGGGTTAAAAGACTGAAGCTTGAGTGAAAGACTTGCAGACAGAAAAAAAAAGTGCAACCACCTTTTTACCATTTCGTCATTTTTTTTCTATGCTTTGTGTATCGTTTACGATACACTGAAGGCATGGCATCTATATGGATCTAAGATTAATACACAAACCCCACGGTGAAAGAGGAAGGATTCACTTGACGACTTCGTTTCCATGCTTTCCATAGTTTCTATGTTTGACAGTTAGATCTCCCTTCATCAACAGAGTTAGGGGGTATTACAGATCCCTAGTCTGAAGTTTCTTTTCCCTTCCGTAGGCTGTGTGTTGCACTCTTCTGTCTCCCCATCCGGAACTAGTTCTTCTGTTCCATCTTCATTTCCGTTGTCTTCTTGGTGAGAGAATCCTTTGTTTAGGACCTTTTTGATGGGTGTGGCCGCACGTGATAGCATTTTACGATGCTTTAAAGAAGAAAGCTAAATATGCGAAAAAATCTTCTAGTAACGAATTAATCGTATAAAAAGGTGGGCAAATCCTTTGCATTCACCTTCCTTGTTTAAGTTACCTCTATGATTTTTCAGTTTCTGATGCTATTTGTATCTTTCAACGACTTTGCATTACAAAAGTCAAATACAACACCCCACTAGATTTATATCCTCTCTTTTGGTTTCAAATTAGTCTTTTAAAGTTGTTTTTCCCTTTAAAGATATTCTCTAAAAGAGTGAAAAAGGTAATAGAGACATCCAGACACGCAAAGTTGAAAAAATAAGTACGACAGGATATTTAAAATATAGCTCACCAAAGTCGTCTTTCTATCAGGACACAATCAAACATTCCCTTTCCTCCTCCCCCCTCCCCCCCAACCTCCCCCCCCCTCCCCCCCCCTTCACTCCCCCTTTACACACACACACAAAATAACATTTAACGAGAAACATTAAAAATGTCTCAGCATGTTGCGCCCTTTTATGTCGTAAACATGAGCTGCGAGATTATTTTTATTATCAGTACTCGCCTTCACGACCAGGGTATTGAAATGGAAAAGACCAATTTGATTATGCAGGATATCGTGTCAAACATATTCAGTGAACCCTTTATGGAGTCAATCTTTACCCCGCAAGAGGGTTATGGACAGGATGCCCTTAACGAAGTCTTTCGCTTGCTGAACGAGTGTTCGACGATATGCTTGAATGAGAACTCAAGGCGAAAGCTCCACGATATTGTCCACATGGCGCTGAAGTACCACCTCTGCACATTGAGCCACCCACTGGAGTTGGTGGCGATGACATTGAGTCACCTCAACGAGGTCAAAGAGCTGATCCCCCTCGCCGCCGTGCGGTACGTGGAGTTGGCTGAGAAGTGCTTTGAATCGCTGCGCCGCCGCCTCTGCGTCGGGCAGCTGGCGGAGATCCGGCAGGGGTTGCTGAACCTCCTCCTGGACTACCATTTCCAGATCGCGCTCTTCGTGAACAATGGCATGCAGTTCCCGGACGGGCGCTTCCGGCTCCCGCGGGGGCCGTTTCTCCCGCCCGCCGCGAGTACGGAGGCGCCCGGGCTCATCCGCTGCTTCACACGCGAGGGGCACCGGCTGGCCGCGCAGCAGCACTTCCGCCATCGCGACGCCGTCCTCCTCCCTCCCCCCCCGCGGACGGGGAACGCCCCCCCCTCTCTTTTCCGTGAGGCCAACCTCTTCCGCGAGAGGGGGGAGGGAAAGGGGGAAGAGGGGAGGGCCCCCCCCCCTCCGGTTACCGCGCTGCGGGCCTACGCAAACGAGGTAGACACGCTCACGGCGGCGCTGCGCGGCCCCTCCGCAGAGATAGCGGCCCCCGGGAGGTTCCGATTGACCCTCCTCGACGACGCCAGCGACGACGAAGGCGAGGCGGACGGGCCCCGGCGGGATGAGGAGGCCCGGCGAGCGGCTACACAAGTCCCACAGAGCCACTCCCTCTCCGCCCCGCCGGCCCGCACTACCGCACTTCGGCAGGAAAATCAGCAGATTTTGGATATTATCGGTAGCCTTGAGGACGGAGTGCCACTCGCGAAAGGGGCGGCGGCGACGACGACGACAAAGGGTGACGCTAACGACTTTTTGGATATAATGGATGACATATAAGAACTGCACGGATGATGGGGCTAATTATTTATGAGGTGCTTCGTATTTCATTCTCTTCCCCCCTTCCGTCTTTTTTATTGCATTTTTCATTCTTTCGATAAACTTTATCTGTTGTGATAACAATTCGCCTTTCTTGTCTCTCTCAACAGATTGTCGCAAAGGTGTGATTTTATTAATATTGGGGTACCGTATTGTATATATGTTGCATTTCTTCGGTACAATCCCTTGCAGTATTCCTCCTTTCTCTTTGTGTTGGAAGGCTTGATATCAATCCTTTTTGATCTAATTCCTAGGTCATTTTTTTTTCCTTAATGTTTACATTGCTGATATTGCATATTGCTATCGAGGGGAAAAAAAAAATAATAACGATTTTCCACAAAAGCAGCCTTGGGGACAATGAGGCGGGGAGTTTATGATTTTATATCTGCCATACGGGGGGGAACTGGAGCCGAAAACCATGGCGTACCGGCGGCGGCTCACACCACCGTGCGGCGTGCCTATCGCCTCGTCCCGCACGTGAACTATGACGTCGAGGAGATTGCCGAGATGCAGAAGCCCAAGCGGTGGTACATATCGCACCTCAATTGCCTTCAGCAGCCCCTTAAGCGCGCGGAGATTATAGCTGAGAAACTCAACCTCCGTGAGATGCGGCGCACCGGCATACTACCGGAGAAGTCCATTGCGCGGCGGATGAGTCAGAAGTACGCCGTGGACGGTGCCATCGTGGAGAGTGAATCGAAGGTCAAGTTGATTAACTTCACGGTCGTCAACTTTGACGGCCATCCTTTTCACTTTCGTGTTTACCCGATGCCGGATGTCACGCTGAACACCTTCATCGACGGCACCGGGATGTGCCACGGCTATCCCCACCACTGGGCTAAGTGTAATAACATCGACTGCTCGGAGTGGAATCACGGCGACGGCTGCTTGCTGAACGTCGATCTTGAGACTCTGGACCGCCTGCTGCCACCCAACCGATGGGAGTACACCTCTCTCACCTCTTGGCGTGCGCTGGACAGACCTGACATTTACTACAACTCGCGTTTTAGCTGTCAAATTACAATCACTGCCGAGCTCGACGGCGCTGTCTTTGCGCTCAAACAGCTCTGGTCACGGTCCCTTCGGGAGTCTGTATCCGATTGGGGCCTTATCGACGATTTGGCAACCATTGCGATGATTCGAAGCAAAGCAATTGAGCCATGGGCTCCCCCGCTCGAGAAGCCTACCGAAGTGGACTTTCCCATCACACTTGACATGTTATGGGCAACGACCTACCAGGAAATCATGCAAAGGAAGTACTCCAACTACCGCCGCAAGGATAGATACCACACAAAGCCGGAGTTTTGGGCAGCGTACGTTTAGCGCCCAACTTTATATAGTAGTAGACACTCATACTATCAAGGTGGATATAGTCATAGTAGTACTAGGTAGTGATGATGGTAGTGGTTAGTGTGTATAGAGGTGCGGGATGGATGTAGAAGTAAATTTATTCAGGGAAGGAGGAGCAGGACAACTACGCCCCACCAGGTGTATTCACTTCTAAGTCTTCTTACAGATTTTCAATTTTACATTATTCGTTTAGTAGGCTGATGCTTGAACTAAGTGAAATGAGGCTAGATTATTTTTAGCATTATATATTTATTTATATAGTAATCTTCTTTCCTAGAATTATTAAAGCGGATTGAAAATCACAAGTGTAGTATCCGTGTACTAATGCGTCAAGGGGAGGGGGGTATGAATGAATACTTTTCATTTTTTTTGCTGTGAATAAACACGCAGTTTGACGAACACACGCCATTACCTTTTGGGGGCCCCTTAGAACTTTTTATTTCATGAAAGGTATTTCACTAAGTGGTGTCGAGTTTCCACACCGGCATTTACTTAACTTTAGACCAGCGCTTTTTTCCATTTCATCTTTCTGAAATCTCCATGAAGCAATTTCAACCACTGATAATAATAATTATCATACTAATACTAATACAATAAGTGGTAGAATATCTTTATCTTAAGGTAATCAAACTCTGACCCGTCTGATACTCTTAGCCGAAGAAAATCGTAAACACCACACCCCCAACGTATTTATTGGTTAAATAAAAGATGTCCACCAAAGAAAACTTTGCGCGGCACATCATTCTCAATGGGTTGCCGAACAACATCACGCCTGATAAGCGTGAGAAGTTCCAGAACGCCTTCTCCAAGAAGATCACCGATGTTCTTGGGCACTCTCGGTTTAACCTACACGTCGTCATGGACGCCGAGGCGGGACTGGCGAAGGGTGCCTTCCTGAGCTTCGCGACCGAAACCGACGCGGAGACGGCGCTGGCCAAGCTGAACATGTACCACTTCACCAAAACCTCCATCATCACAACCTACCGTTGGTCTGCCCTAGAAAACGCGAAGATGGGGGAGGAGGAGTACGTCCCCCCGCCCGCGATGGAGGAAGAGGGCGCCGAGGAGGACTTCCTGCACAACATGGCCATGGATGAGCAGGGCCGGCCGCAGTTTATCGTGAAAGGCGGACTGGCGATGGATTGCGAGTGGTATTGGTTCGATTGGGAGAGAAAGGAGCCGGTGCTCTACCGCCGCCCGAACGTCCGCAAGGAGGACCCTCTTGGGAAGTGGTCGGAGATGGACCGCCGCGATAAATCCCTACGCGCAGGCCTCGTCAGCAGTGTTCTGCCGGTGGCTCGACCTCTGCCGGTGTGGTCGACTTACGGTACGATGATGATTTCTCAACAGATGAAGGGCCTTCGAATTTGGGGAGGGCGCAGCATGCACCTTCTCTTCGAGGTCATGGAGGGGGTGGAGGCGTTTATGGTCTCGAGCAGCGAGCGGTACATCGTGACCAAAACAGACAAAGAAGTCAGCGTGTGGAACATGCGCACGGCGAAGAAGATTCGTACGTTGGGCAATCTCGACTTGCACTCGGACGACCTCTGGCCCATTGTGCGTTTTAGCGCCGACGACACCCTCGTTGCGGTGTGCAAGGTAGGCTACAACCCAAACGAAATGGTGCCCCCCACCGCCGGCCGACTATCGCTTTATATCGCCCGAAATATGCGCCTCATACAGGGCAGTACGAGTCAGGAACGTCTCCAATACACCTTTTCTATACCTGGGCTTTACAAGGCAGAGTGGAACCCCAACGTGAAGACCCAAATCGCCTATGTCGTGGCGCTCGGACCGAAAGAGGGCTGGAAATTGGTGATTGCAAATATGCACGTTGATGAGGAGAACAACATCGCCACCGAGGAGCAGCTGATCCAGCGCCATTTTCTGCAGGCGACTTCTCTGGATATGCTCTGGAACCCAGCCGGCGTCCATCTCTCGATCAAGGCCACATTGAAGAATACCACGGAGTATTTCCTTTTCCATATCGGCTCGCGCTCCGTTGCGGCAATGCAGCTGCTGATCAAACCCGGCTTCAGCGCAGGGCGTTTTGCGTGGCAACAGAAAGGGGACTATTTCGCGACTATCCTCAATAAAGTGCAGGACACGAATGCCTCGGGGGGGGCACAGCTGCTATCCGATCACGGCCTCCTGCAGATCCACACAATAAAGAACAACAAGCTGAAGCTCCTGTTGGATTTGAGCACGTCCATGACGCACCTCTTTTGGTCCCCGAAGGGGAGCTCCCTCGTCGCGGTGAACTTCGACAAGTCCATTCTGCACTTCCTCTCCATCACCGACGAGGGCGGGGTGGAGGAGCACAACAAACTGAGTGGAGTGAGCGCCACGGACTGCCAGTGGGACCCCACCGGGCGCTTCTTCGCGACATGGGTGTCCTCCCTGCGGAACACCACAATGGCCCCGCAGTACCGCATCTTTAACTACAACGGCACGGAGCTCTTCCGCAAGGACTCCAAGCCCTTTTCCCACTTCTCCTGGCGCCCCCTGCCCCCATCCCTTCTTGCCGAGGCCGAGGTGCGGACGGTGAAGGGGTCTTTACGGAAACTCCTGGCGGACTACGAGGCGACGGCGAAAGAGAAGCTCGCGGCTGAGGAGCAAAAGGTCGCTCGAAAAAAGAAGGATGTCGAGGACACCTACACCAAAAGGATGAACGACCTTGCTCGGAAGATGCGAGACCAGCGGCTCAATCAAAAGAAAATCGAGCTTCAGGATAGCTCGCGGTGGACTCGCTATTGGCCTTCGCGCATTAGAGCCCTTTCGGAAGAGCAACGTATCATCCACGAGGATCTAACTGAGGAGCGTATCATATCGAGAAGGCAGATAGGAACAGCCGTTGGGTCTCTCGCGTAGCTCTCGCGGAATAAAAGGAAAAAAGTAAATGTTTTGTATAGCGAGAGGAATGGAAGTAGGTGGGGGGAGAGAGAAATTTCTTCTATGAGTGTGTGTAAATTTAGGTTGAAGAATAAACAGTGAGACTAATTCTAAAAAGGCCATTGCGGGTTGATTATGCCAAACTGTGCCTGCTGTGGTGAGGTCTCTCTCCATTGTCGCACCTCTGCATTCATCCTGTTTGTTTGTTTGTTCTACGTAAGCAGTTTACCATAAAAGATGATATTAACCTATAATGATCTCGTTAAGAAAAAAAAAATGTTGTGAAGACATATATTAAATAATTGATTTTTTTTTTGTTATCACATTTCGAAAGGGATTCTAACTCCCTTTTCCGCAATTCTTAGCTTGTTGTGTGCTTCGAACTAACCATTTATTCTTCTTTTTTTCATTAAATTATTTTAGAAGTCTGTACCGATATATTTTCTTATTAAATATAGCTAAGGCTTGTAAGGATGAATTTTTTTAATTCATTCTCAGATGCGACAATTATTAAAAGAATTTATCGAGTCAAATTTCTTATCTGATTGCCCCCAAGAAGCTTTCTTTTCGCCTGATTGATCTCGTTTGTTGAGCACTGTTGCTGGCGCAGAGGGAAATGACTCTGTGTTGAACAAAGACACAGAATTTTTACATTTTTCAAGGAGCCCCACTTCTCTTTTTACGAAGGCAACGAATTCCAAACTGTGCGCTGGGGTCTCAAGTTGACCACAACTTGAAAATGATTTCGGGAAAAAAGGAGATCTCAGTGGGTTATCACGGAATGATAAGGACTTTTAGCGAATTATTTCTGAAAACTACTAAGACTTATTAATTTTTTTTTCTCTATCCTATTTCCACCCACAACAGGAGGGTGAAGTGTTTTCCAAGTGAGCACAATCGTTTATGTAGACGTCTTCAAAAGATACTACTGGAGACTATAATTTTATCTTTCAAAGAGAAAATACGAATATATACATATATATATGGATTTAAGCCTATGTGGATAGCTATTGGGGCTCATATCCGACTTACCTCCTCTTTATTTTTTTACTTTCCCCACAGTCTGCTTTGCATCTTGGGCTCAACCCTGCATTACACTCAGGTTATCTTAAAAGGCAAGGGGTATTGACACAGGCCGGCCTCTTCTCGTGCTCAGGCGACTATTACAGGTATGATGGCCTCCGCCTTCAGGCGGAGCACCCCCCTCTTCACCTCACCATTTCTCAAGCAACAGCGGGAATCGATCATGGCCGCTCCTCTGTCTCCCGAGGAGGCGGCACTTTTTGACTGCCCCATCCAGCGGTGGCTCGGGGCAACCCGCGAGGAGTTCCGCGCGTATTCCCCGTCCATCCCCTCCCCGACCCACCTTTCCGGGCTGGGGCCGGTCGACCCCTCCCACCCCGTCCTCGCCCGTGTGGCCCTGCACCGCGGCCCCGTCACGGCGCTCGCCCTGGACGCCGTCGTGAACGCGGCGAATGAGACCCTTCTGGGCGGCGGGGGGGTCGACGGGGCCATCCACGCCGCTGCGGGGCCGCTACTTCTGCGGGAATGCGCGGCTCTAAATGGGTGCCCAACCGGGCAATGCGTCTTAACAAAAGGCTACAACCTTCCAGCCCGCTGTGTGCTCCACACCGTCGGGCCGATCGGCGAGAATCCCGAGCTCCTTCAGAGTTGCTATGAAAATATCTTTTCCCTGGCATTGCGTAATGGGATACGCAGCGTGGGGTTATGTGGGGTCAGCACCGGGGTCTATGGCTATCCCCTGAGGCCGGCTACTCGGATTGCATTAGGTGAAGTAATCAAGGTTTTGAAGGAACACTCAGAAGCCTTTGATTTGATCTGCTTTGCGTGTTTTCACGAAGAGTCGGCTCGGGTGTTGTTGGAGGAGATTGGACGTCTGAAGGACACACCTGCGGCCCTCTGATAACGTGCACAGCTCACCATAGTGCTCGTCCGAAGGTACGAATGAGTCTTCTCTCCACGCTCTTTTTTGTACTGATATAGAATCTCCCCTGTGTGGGGGGAATTAAAAAAAACCAAACTATCGAACCCTTACCAAGAGATGAGTGACCTAATCTAGTATGCACTTTAATTGAATAGATTTTAATCAACTTTTTGAGTTTTTTTTTTTGCTTACCATTCAAAAAGACTGCTTTTTTTAAATTTTTATGGATCTGTCTGAGGGTATTTTGTTAACTTCACTTCCACAGGGAAAACATAAAAAACAAACGAACAAACGTGAAGCTTTTAAACACTCACAACTCTTTTTACTCCCCTTTTCTGTCTTCCTCGTAGGCGTCGATTGTTTTAAATGGGAACCCATCAACTAGCGCTCCCGTTGCCGCCTGACTATGTGAGTAGCGTGTTTCACGAATCCTATTCATTTTTTAATTCTTCGTCACCATCCCAGTGCGACGTCCTGAACAACTATTTAGACGACTTATGTGCCTTTTTGCGTAAGTGCAGGGTGGTTCAATGGCACCCGGAGAATTTTTTCTACTTAATACGTGGCGAGCTCTGGCGGAGGCAGGGAAAGTACCTCGAAGACGAAACCGTCACCGTGGAAGAGGTGGACTACACTATGAGATTGTGTAAGAGCCTTGGTCATGTGCTCGATCTCGAGGACTGCATGGAGCAGATGCGTTTGCTTCTGCGGGAGGGTCCGCCGCCCGAGCTCTCGCACGATGACGCCCTGCAGTCTTTTTACGCGACCACCAAGCGTCTTATTCTCAACCGACAGCGGCGGGTCCAGAACGATGCGGCCAGCCTGACCTTGCTCCAGCGAACGGGCGGAGGCGAATCTCGCGGAGACGCGTTTCAAGAGTCGGATTCACGGGGACACGCGGCGGAGGACGCGGGTGATCGCGAGGGGGCTGCGGAACACCGGCGGAGGATTCTCAAGATGGTCCTCTCTCACGGCATGAGCCCCAAAAAGCAGCATGAGGTGGCCATCCTGACCGACACCATTGCGGACCTTGTCCATTGCTGCGATGCTTCCGACCGCTGTGAGCCGCCCAACGCGACGGCGCTGCGGACGGTGATCAACATTGGCGAGGGCAAAGGCTACGTCTCGCGCACCCTCGCGCTCTGCGACCGTCTGCAAGTAATAGGCATCGACTGCAACCCCCTTCACAAGGAGGGGATGCCGAAACGGGTGGAGAGGCTCTTGGAGGCTGGTCTCAGCCTACGAAATGGACAATGTGGGAAGGACATGCTCAATCTTATGTATGAGCCACGCGGCCACATAGCGAGTGTGGTGTGTCGCCTGGAATCTTCCTCGGTTCGGTGGGACGAGCTGCTCCAGGGGCATGTGGACACGGTACATGATGAGGAGGCCTGTCTAACTGATCAGACGCGCACTGACGAAAATGTCAACGGTGCGGAGGCGCTGAGGTGCTCCCAGGATGCCTGCCTCCCCCAAAGGGAAGTGATGTCAATTCAAGCCTTCTCCGAGGGGCTTTATCAAACTACCGAAAAAATTTGCTGCAAGTTGTGCGGCAAACTCATGCGTTTGACAAGTATGTCTGCAATATTGAAGCACGTGGACGAACACGTGAAAGATGGGCACACGACGCCGCAATCGTCATCATCGTCTCAGCCTGTTCAGCAGTGTTTTGAGGAAGAAGCGGTGATGGGCATCCCACCCAGCGGCGATTTTCCATGCAGAGATACCATTAATCGCTGGATTGTGGAGCTGCCGCAGGCAGAGTTGGTTGCGCGGCTGACGCAAGTATTTTTCATCGTTTCTGACGACCGCAACTCTACTCAGGCCTCGAGTCCGGTGGTGGTGTCTTCGGCGTCGCCGTCCGGTGGCGACGTGTTGAGACGCGCTCCGGATGCGGGGTTTGAACGACTGCGCCTCCCGCGTGGGATGCGGGCCGCGGCGTACGTCGCGCGGAGCCGAGGGCCGGATCGCCCCGGGGAAGCCCCCGCGGCGGTCGAATGGGTCTTCGAGGATCAAATGCTCACGGTGCTCGGCTACAACGACGCCACGGGCCGGCACCAGGTTGTCTTTGACGACGAGTCCATCAAGCGGAGTTA